TAATAATTTTTACTGTTAAGAAATTGGGGCGTGATTACTTGTCCTTGAAACTTTAAATTAATGCAATGGGGAAAATGACAATTGATTGCCGTTTATATGGTATTCCTTTCACCCTTCAATCATTTTAAAGTTTTTTTTCTTGTCATATACATTTGTACATATATATTTTTTTTGATATACCAGATTCTTTTAAAAACAATTGCATTTGTTAGCATCTGCACAACCGTGCAAACATACATTAAGACAGTTCTGCAACATTCCCACGACAGCCGGTTCTACGTACCGGAATGACTCGGGTTTCACCCGACCAAGGGCTGTTGTTTCGGCGATCTAACCCCGTTTAGGTCGGCGAAGTATCTCAGAAGTTGTCCGTCCATAGGGCAACATTCACTACGCATTCTCCTACTCAGGGCTGGCATCGAGTCAAACNTGTATGTATATATTTTTTGATTTTCCAGATTCTTATAAAAACGGTTGCATCTGCACTGTGCAAACATACATTAAGACAGTTCTGCAAAAACCGGAACCTTTATTTAACAAAATACCACCACAAAATTACTTAGTATTTTTTACTAACTTACTTTTCGTGACATTGAGTTTCGGTAAACAAATTTTCAGAGTTTCAAGGAAATTATTTCAGCATTATAATATACAACGAGATTATTTTTAGTGGAATGCTTGTTAATAATGCACATTAGATTTTGGTATACTTAGTGTGGTTCCCGTGTTTACCAGAATTTTTTAAAGTCTGCGTAGAAATTGTCCGCATTTCATTCCGCATACGTTATTGAAACCTAAAAATGAATCCAATCCAACTGATTGAATTTTTCTGTGAAATTACATCGAAGTGATTTTGAAAAATCTTAAGAAAATTCATAACTTCCGAAATTGTCTATTGTCGAAGTGAAAAAAATAATAAAAATTTGAGTAAACTTCAGACTTATTCCAAAAATTTTCCACACATTTACAATGGGCCGTATGAATAAAAACTAAGAAATTGCTTTTGCTTGAAATTTCGTACCTTTTACTTCAATTTTATTTGAATAAATTGAGTAAACGGTCTGAAATTTGAAGAAAAAGCAAGTACGGCCCAATGTGCTCACAAAACTTGTTAGTTTTTAAATAGTACAAATATTTTTCTTTCCACATTCATAAAGGGAAATAAAATGGATAAAAATAACCGAGTTAAAAATTGTTTAGTGCGGGAAGTCATGTAAAAATGTTTTTTTTAAGAATAAAAAATTAACGGTAATTCGTAGCCACTTGAAATTTGCACATTATCAGACTAAAATTGCAGGGGCTAAAAAACTGTGTACTCAAAAAAATTCTAACACTTCCGAGAAAAAAGTTTGAAATTTAGGTGAAATTTTGTTGCACTTTTTTGAAGTTTTCTACAAATTGTTAATCTTGGGTATATATGGGGTTTGTCTGAGAATGAACTAAATTTTAATTGAAAATTCTTAAAAATAAATAAATAAACATAAGTGGCACACAATATCACTTTCAAATGGCGTGCTATAGATATGACCGATACTGTATTTCTTGCTGATCAATCAACGGTTGCTTGGCCTACGGTATTCGACCCTACACATGTATGTATGTATGTATTCGGATTTTTATCGGACTAATGACTGAACTTGGAGGTCTTGTTTATATTTCATTATGAATATTTTAATCTTCAACAGGTGTGCGTGTTTTTCAACAAAGCTATGCAACAAAAAAATTTCTTTGCCCCACAAACATGTGGAATTCACACGTATGAAACTACTTAATTTACGGTTGTTGGTAAAGGCTAAAAATTTTGAATAGACACATACAGTAACTCAAAAACGTGACCACATATTGATATTTTGTTTAATATTCACAAATGGCCCTATTACACTGAGAAAAAATCTACCACAAATTGGTTAATATTACCAAATTCAAACAATGTGAATTTTGGTTTATATTAACAATGCCACGGTTGATACTTTCACCAATGATTTGGTAATATTAACCACACTTTTATTTACATTAAACAAATTTTTGGTTGCCGATTTTTTCGTATGAATACGCCTATGTTCGACACTTTAGAGATGCTTTTTCACAATTCGGTTACAAAATAATTTTTTTTTTGCGCACAATTTTATTTTAGATTAGGGGGAAATATACATTAGATTAAAATTGCTCCATATTTTAATTTCACTAATTTTGCTTCACCTAATCATAATCTTAAATACCACTTTGTTTACATTTGAATTTGAAACATAATCTTATTTTTTAACACCTACAAATTCTTGCTAGCAAAATCTTTACTTGTAAGAATTTGCAGCTCTCCCGGGTTGTTAGGCTCTCGAATTCGCTGTATCTTGCATATTTTTTGGGTTATTGAATGCATTTGCAGTAAAAACTGGCAAGTACTGGTAACAATTAGTTGATATTGCGTGGACCTACAGTCAGAGAAAAAATTATCAAAAATCTACACCAAATCGGGGTTTTCCTATAACTTTTTTAATTTATGCCCGATTTCCATAAATGATTAATCATTGTAAAGGTATTTAGAAAGTGTATAGTTGTATATACATATACATAGAAGCATTATCATATCTCATTTATTTTGCAAATGTATTTTTCCGTTTTCAGAAAAAATCATACATTTCCGTTTGAGAAAAAAACATACATTTTTAGTTTGGCATAATAGGCAGCAACTTTTCACTCTAATAAGCGAGCGATATATGACATTAGAGTGGTCCAAAAAACGGTAAAGTCGGAATCCTAATGCCGCCACCAACAAGGATTGTTCTATAACGAAAAAATATACCCCTAATTTTTATTTTGAAATCATAAAATATTTAGAGAAAGCTCAAAGCGCTTAAAAAGTTTTCCACATATTTTATAAGGAGAAAAACACTTTTCGTAGAAATCGTATAAAATTTTTTGAAAATCAATATTTTTTGATCGGAGGAGATTACCAATAATAATACCCAAAAATTTATTTAACCATTTTTTCATGGTAACTATATTTTATAGGTCCGCCAAGATCCACAGAAACAATGAGGGGAACAATAAAAAATCATTAGTACTAAAAAAATTAGCAATTGGGTATTATTATTGGCATTTTAAACGTTTTTCACACGTATGTATGCATTTTCGGTCTACTCTAATGTACAGTGGTGGCCAAATAATTGGAGACACTACTTCTATGGACGTTTTGATTATTTATTTCTTATTTATTTATTTTTTACAAAAATTGCATAACTCAAAGTTTCAAACCTTGTACAAGATACATATGTAAAAATTTGCCAAATTTCAACAAATGGTCAATAAAATTTCAAATAGCCCATTCACTTTGAGTATAATATTGTGCAAGTTTGAGCTCTGACCTTTTTTGCTGATGGTGACTGCTAATTTTCACCCACAATAAAAATGTTCAAACGGAAGGAAATGCTTGACACCGTCAGCAAAAAATATAAAAAATTAAACAGATTTTTGAGCTACTTCAAACTTGCATAGTATTACAATAAAATTAAATTCACTATAAAACTGCAAACCCGATTTTATTAGAAACTATGATTAAAAACTTTGATGGCAACTTTTTGAAATTTAGCAATTTTTTTTATAGTTCTTGAATGTACCTTCAAGGTTTGAAACTTTTTTTCATTGTAGTATGAAATATGTAATGAAAGAAATAAATGGTCAGAGCTTGTGAAGAGGTTGTGTTCCTAATTATGTGTCCACCATTCTATTTAAGTATTTAAACGTGTATAATTCTGCATTTTTCTTATCAGTGAGTAAACGTTTGATGAGGTCAGAGACCCAGCAGAAAGAAAGACAGACATTTCCTTTAAAATTAATTAATGAAATTCATTGTTTGTTGCCTTAATTAAAATTGTATTTGTATATTATGTGAAAAGACCATATCATTACATTAGGTTACTTTCACAATATCTACCATACAAAACGGCAACAAGCCATTCAATACATTTTGCGCTTGTTGGCTAATATATAGAGCCAACTTGAATGACCAACAATAAAGTTAGTGCCAAAGAGTAATAAAAAATGAATGTGCAAACGTAATCAAAGTAGGTACCTACACACAAACCTACTTATGTATGTCTACTTGTTTATCGGCCCCATCACTACTGGATGTGTATTCATGTATGCATCTATAGGTACACATCTATGTACATTTAGATTATTTAGACACACGAGTTATCGCAATGGGCGACCGCTTGAATGAATCATAGACCAGTCGATGCATGGCAAAGAGCATTGGCCAATTTGAAAGTAAACATACATATATGTATATGTATATATGTAAATGTGCACATACACATATATCATTGAAATACATAGCATATGCACATACAGACAAGTACATATGTATGTACATATATACCAAGACAATGTCTAATGGATAGAAGTCAATAGCCCTTTGCGGAATGAAGGATGGTAATATGTGGTAAGGAAATGTAGGGAAACTCATAAATGCGACCATCTAACTGGGTAAAAATGTACGTAGTATTTAGTTATACATACATACATATATATCAAAACCGCACAAAACCGCGTATCGTGGTTCCGCAAAACCTCGTAACTGACATTTGTGACAAAAAGATATTTGCTCACCGGAAGCTTCAGGCATCAAGCCCTTATCCATTAATCCTAAAATATTGATACTTAGATATATGAAGACGAGATATTTAGGGATAAAAGAGAGAACCGTTCTGAAATAAGAAAATTTTTACCCTCTCCTATAAAATTTAGGCAACCATACGCATTTTCTTGCTACGCGCTTTTGTACTTTAAACGATGATATGCACGCACACGCTATATATAGCAACTCGAACGTGACAAGAGACTCGGCCGGATTAAACTTACCGGAAGTTCTACCAGCATGCCTTCCTTTTCTTTTTTTTTTGGTTCTGGTTTAGATATGTACATTTTATTCTTTTAAGTCATTCGCCTATTCATACATATATTGTATTGTGATAAATTTCTATTTCGCTGTGTCTACTTACCTTTCGATTTTGCATGGAAATGCAAAGGCTGGTATGTCAGCCATAGTTTTCTCATCGCGATATCCCTCCGGAAAGCTCTCGACCACAACACAAGGTGGGGATGATGTGTGGCTGCCGCCTGTAGGCGTATTCCGTTTGTCTGCATTGCGCACCAACGCGACTTCACACCAAAATTCGAATAGTTTCTTCACATCCGCTCTGGAAACAAAAATTTCAGGCATATTTTTTTATAAATTTGGAATCAAAGCCAGAAGAAATTATGTGGCATGCATAACATAATTTCAAACTATTCAAATTAACTCCAAACCAACTGGAAAACTGGGGAGAAGTGCACTTGAGCGTAACGCCTACTGATTTATGGCCGCCACCGAATAGATGGCACACAGTACAATTATCTCGGCTGCACATTTTACGCTTACATGGGACAGTTCAGAGAGATGAGATGAGTAAAGAGTGCCTGACTGAGGTAGCAATAATTCTCATGGTCAGAAGTTCAACAATTTCTTACTTCCAAGTATTAGCATTTGAAGTAATGTTTAGTTCATTGCGATTACAGTTTTTTTTTTTTTGGGCAAGCTGCACCGCTTTTGGTTTATATTAGATTCTACTAAACTAATGTATATTATATACTATATTATATACATAATACATAAGTATGTACATATGTACATATTTTTAAACAAGTGACGTACGGCCGCGACACTCACTTTATACGGGAACTCATACTGGCTGCGCCTTGCACTGGCCGCCCTGTTGCCTCCAAGAATTTCCGCTTGCTCCCTTAT